CACGTGACTGGTCCGCATAAGTACATTATGGCGCCAACCCTGTCACATACACCTGTATTTGTACAGGGTGTAGGTGATAGGGTTGGCACGATGTCTTCACACTGGGAACTCATATGTGGGTGTATCTGCATGTGGACGGACTCACCTGGAGACAGAGGAACGGTGTCTCGGTTCCTAAGACCATCAGAAATATGTGTTTTCCAATGGTCTTAGGTGACCTCTGTGAAAGGGTTGTTCGACACCCCCAAAGGGGTCGCGACCCACAGGTTGAGAACCGCTGCTGTATAGCATTACTGAGTCGGAATGGACTGGACAGCAGTGAGTCTGGATTTGGAAGAAGCCCTGGTAGTGCACTGGGCTTAAGCATTGGCTGCTAACCACACCATGAGGTCAGTGGTTCAAACCCACAGCTTCTCCACAGAGGGAAAAGGATGAGGTTGTCTGCTTCCATAAAGATGTACAGCCAAAAGGAAGTAGAGAAAAGAACTAGAAGGCAAAGGGCATTTATAGAGGTCTAAATAGAGGCATGTACATATGTAAATAGATTTATATATGATGATGGGGAAATAGATCTATGTGTATCTATTTACAGGTTTAGTATTAAGGTAGCAGATGGACCTTGGGCCTCCACTCAAGTAGTCCCTCAACGCAAGAACACTTTGTTCTATTAAACTGGCATTCCATGATGCTCACTTTCCCTACACGATTGCTGAAGACAAAGTAGGTGCATAAGCAAATGTGGTGAAGAAAGCTGATGGTACCTGACTATCAAAAGATATAGCATCTGGGGTCTTAAACGCTTACAGGTAAACAAGCAGCCATCTAGCTGAGAAGCAACAAAGCCCACATGGAAGAAGCACACCAGCCTGTGTGATCACGAGGTGTTAAAAGGATCAGGTATCAGACATCAAAGAACAAAAAACCATATCATTGTGAATGAGGGGGAGTGCAGAGTGGGAACCCACAGCCCATCTGTAGGCAAATGGACATCCCCTTACAGAAGGGTCAGGGGGAGGAAATGAGCCAGTCAGGGTGCAGTGTAGCAACAATGAAACATACAACTTTTCTCTAGTTCTTAAATGCTCCCCCCTCCCACTATCATGATCCCAATTCTACCTTACAAATCCGGCTAGACCAGAGGATGTACACTGGCACAGATAGGAACTGGAAACACAGGGAATCCAGGACAGATGAACCCTTCAGGACCAGTGGTGAGAGTGGCGATACCGCGAGGGTAGAGGGAAGGTGGGGTAGAAAGGGGGAACCGATTACAAGGATCTACATATAACCCACTCCCTGGGGGACAGACAACAGAAAAGTGGGTGAAGGGAGACATCAGACAGTGTAAGACCTGAAAAAATAGTAATAATTTATAAATTATCAAGGGCTCATGAGGGAACGGGGCGGGAAAGGAGGGGAAAAAATGAGGAGGCGATACCAAGGGTTCCAGTAGAAAGCAAATGTTTTGAGAATGATGAGGGCAACAAATGTACAAATGTGCTTGACACAGTGGATGGATGGATGGGTGGTGATGAGAGTTGTGCGAGCCCCCAGTAAAATGATTTAAAAACAAAAACAAACGACGTACAGCCTTGGAAACCGTACGGGTGACGGTCACTCTGAGTCAGAACTGTTCTCAATAGCAGCAGGTGGGCGCTCAGTCCTGGGCGCCTGGTGGTGCAGCGGTTCAGGGAACCGAGCACCCGGTGGTGCAGCGCTCTTCTGTGGTCCGAGAGGTTGGCAGTTTGAACCCATCAGCGGCACTGTGGGAGAAAGCGAAGGCTGGCTGTTCCCATAAAGATGTCTAGCCCTAGAAACCCGGTGGGGGCAGTTCTGGGAGCCGTGGTTGGGTCGTGGTTCCGTGTGAGGCCGGCAGTAGGAAACCTCCAGCAGCTCCTCAGGAGAAAGACGGGGCTGTCTACTCCTGTAGAGAGTTACAGTCTTGAAACCCACAGGGCCAGTTCGACCCTGCCCTACCGGGCCGCTCACTGTGAGTCAGCATCAACTCGATGGCAGCGAGTTTGGCTTTCAGAGTGTGGGGGGCAGTTCTATCCTGTCCCCCGTGGCGACTATGAGTCAGAATGGACTGTAAGACGGTGGCTTCGGCTTCCCCGTTACTGGGGACCCCCTAGCTTAATTGGCATCACAGGCTTGCCTCTGCTGTCATAGTTACGGAAGACTTTCTTCCTGGGCACAGCTAGGGAGTTTTAAACCCCAAACTCGAAGGTTAACCGTTGGTGGCAAACTGCTTGCATCACTGGCTGCCATGGTGAGTGGCCCACTTGATGGCAGCTCATAACCCCAGCCTACCCTGGCTGGGGAGCAGCCCAGCTGGTGCGTAGTGGTTCAGCGTTTCGGCCGCAAGGTCAGCAGTTCAAAACCCCCAGGCTTTCTACTTCAGGCAAGAGTTCCAGTCTGGGAAGCCCACAGAAGCAGTTCTATCTGGTTACGATGAGTTGCAATCAATTAGAGGGCAGTGCGTTTGATTTGGTTTTCTCTCTTCTGGAAGCTTCTTCTCCTCACCAATTCTGGGTGGGGTGGGGTGGGGGACACCCTCCCCAACCCAGTTTACCAGCTCCCTGGGACAGCCAGTTACTTTGCCTGTTGTTAGGGGTCCTAGAGCCAGTCTGACTCACAGTCATCCGTGCACAACAGAAGCAAACAGTGCCCATGCCTCACCATCGTGGTTAGTTGTGTCAGCCCACTGCTGCAGCCACCTGGTCACTTTGCACCAATTTAGCAGCCACAGTGGGGTGATGACGGTTGGTTGGGTACAACCACCATTCAGAGCGGAAGTTAAACCCTAGCCCTCCCCTGCTCTCTCTCTCTCTCTCTCTCTCTCTGCAGGTCCCTTCCTCCCGCCAACAGGGCTGCTGGGGGACACGGACTTTTTCGCCGGCTCCGTGTCCTTGCCGGGCCTGGAGCCCCCGGCTGCGGCCGAACTCCTGGAGGAAAGCTTTGCCTACGACCCCACGGCGCCCACGCTCTTCACCATGCTGGACCTGCTGCCCCCCGCGCCTCTGCCGCTTGTCAATGCTGTTCCGGGCAGCGGGGGCACAGGGGCTGCGGTCGGGGAGCCCCCCGGCCCCGATCTGCTGACGCTGGACTCGTACCAGGCCTCGGGGCCCGGGGACGGGGGCACTGCCAGCCTCGTGGGCAGCAACATGTTTCCTAATCAGTATCGTGAAGCAGCCTTTGGGGGAGGCCTCCTGTCCCCGGGCCCTGAGGCCACGTAGCCCCCTGGGGCGCGTTGGGAAAGAGGAACTGGGGGGAGGGGGGCGGGCAGCGGCCGAGGGGCCGGATGTCCAACCGTGAGCCGGGCCACCGGCGCCCATCAGCCCACCTTCCTTCCTCATCCGTCTTTCCGAACCAAACGGACATCTTCTGCGCTGGCAAGGGGCTCCGGAGCACGGGGCTCTCTGCGAGCCTTGATTACCAATGAGACACTCGAGTCCGGAGAGCTTAAGGGACCTGGCCCCCAGGCCCACGGCCTCCTCCCCTGCACGCGGGGACCCTTCTCCACCCGGATTGTACTGCGGGTGGATCCCTGCCGGCGGGGGAGGGGGCGTTCAGGTTGTTTGCTGGTTCACAGTCTTCCAATAAAAATGAGTTTTTGAGCCTTGGGGGGGGTCTCGCGTCTACGTCTGGGGCACTCGGGCGCGGGGGGTGGGGCGAGCCCTCTTCTCCGCTGGGTCTCCCGCTCGGCCCCGCCGGGCCCCGCCCCCTCGAGGCCCCGCCCCTCCGGCTGCCTGGCCCCGCCCCCTCGAGGCCCCGCCCCGTGCGTCGGCGCGCTACGCCCTTCCCCCTGCTCAGGGGCACCATTTCCGCTTCCGGTGCGGGCCGCGCGCGCGAGCACCGCGGTGGGAGGTGGCGACGAGCCGGTGAGTGGAGGTGGCGGGCCCCGTCCCTTGGGTTTCGGGCCTGCGTCAGCCCCAAGCGCCCGCGCCTCGGCTTCTCCTGGGCCCGCCGCGCACCTCCGCCGGGCCCCGGGCCCGAGGGCTCCCCGACCCGCACCCCGGTTGGCCGGACCGACTTCAGGCCGCGCCCCTGCCTGGGTCCGGAGTCCGAAGTGGCGGCGTCGGACCTGGCCGAGAGCCGGGCCGCCGGCTACAGGCCCCGCCCCCGTGTCACAAACGAGCTCGGCATATGCCCTCAGGCCGCGTCGTCCGCCGAGTGTCCCCACCCTCAGGTTCCGCCCCCGTCCGTGAGCCCTGCCCCCAAGCCTGCCCACCCCCTTCTGTCTACCCCCCTCTACAGCCCCCCCCTTTTCAGACCCCGCCCCTGCACCCCGGCTGGGCCTCTCCTCAGAGCCCTCTCCCCCGCCCTTCTGCACCCCCCCTCCCCCAAGCGCCTGTCTTCCATTCCCCAACCACATACCCCTACTCTCTAATAAAGTCCTTCCCACCTGCCTTCATCCTCCATTCCCCTGACTGCTCCTTGGGTGGGGACATTCAGCTCAACCCCTTCCTCTTGAGCACCTGCCCCAGCGACTCCTGTCTCTTCCCCCCCACGGCTGATTTCAAACACATGCCACACCAGCCCCTCCCCCCCACCCCCCCAAAACCTCTCATCCCTGACTCCGGCATGTTGAAACCAGGAGACCCCTTTTCTGGGGCTGTTCACCCCCGAACCCCTTAAAGGTTTTCCAGGTATGCCAAGCTACTGGCTCAGGAGTCCCGAGGGCTACAGGGGTGGGTGTGGGTGTTAATGCTAACCGCAAGAAAGGTCAGCTGGTTAAGCCCACCAGCTGCCACTCCACGGGCAGTTCTACTTTGTCCTGTAGGGTCACGAAGAGCGAGTCGGCATGGACTCGGTGGCCTCTAGCTTTTGCAGTTCAAGCTGCTGCCCCCGCTGTAGTTTTTCCCTGTGGCCGAACTTCCCCCTCCAGGGGTGGGGGGGCCCCATCGCTGCCCAGTGCTGGGCTTGGTGCCATCCGTGGCACCTGCCCATCTGACGGACCGTGCCGGATCCCCTCCTCTCCCAGGTTGGGGGCCTCGGGCTCGGCCTCGCCACCATGTGGCACGAAGCCCGCAAACATGAGCGAAAGCTCCGTGGCATGATGGTGGACTACAAGAAGCGCGCCGAGCGGCGGCGGGAGTACTACGAGAAGATCGTAAGTCACCGAGGGAGGCTCCCCACGAAGGGAGGAGGAGGGAGGCCCGAGACGTGGTGGCAACCAGAGGGACACTGGGGTGAGTGGGAAGGAAGCCTGTCTCGGTGGCCCTTGGAGCAAAGCCGATGTCAGAGGGGCCACCTCTGGAGCCAGGCCACCTGTCTGCTCTCCGCTGTCTTCTGGTGCACCCAGAGCTCAGCCGTCCTTGAGGTTGGGCTTGGCACCCGGTAGGCGCCATCTCTGTTCACTGCGCCAGAAATGCCCAAACCCCATCCCGCAGCCTAAAAGGTTTTTGTGGTCTGGCCGCTGCCAGCCTGGAAGCTTTGTCCGTAGGCGGCCCAGCCTGCCTTGGGTTCTGTCTCTGCCCTCAGGCCTGTATGCTTGTCATGCCTCCTCCTCAACTGCTTGACTCCCCTTTGCCCTTAAGCCCCCGGCTGCAATCCTCTTAGGAGGTCTCCTGGAAGTGGGCTTGGGAACAGTGTTACCATGGACTCCCGTATCACTGTCCCTTGCCCCACCCTCTCCCATCTCCTGTCCCCTCCAGGCCGTGCTCTGAGTGGCCAGAGAGCTCTTTCTAAAGCCCACAGCGGATCTCTTCTCTCCCCTGTTCAGATGCCTCTGTTGCTCCCCAGTGCCCTTAGGAAAATGCCCAGTTTCCTTACCACAGCCACTGAGACACTACGTGGTCAGGCTCATGGCTGGCAATGCCTGCACTCACACCAGCTGTGTTCTGCCTAGCCCTGGGTTCACTGTTTCTCCCCTGTACTGCCTGCTTAGTCCTTGGGGAAGCCTTCCCGCCTCCTATAAGCCATGTGCTCCGTGAGTGCTGGCCCACCTCCCTGCCCTTCCCCTCAGGAGAGAACTTAGCATGAGCCTCGTTCTTGTGGTTCACATTTGCATCCAGTATTTGGCCCACTGAATATGGTCTGAAAGAGTTGATGAGTAACACAACATTAACAAACTGCATCTATCACTGCTGGGACTTGCCGCTTGTGCAGGGACTGGCCTGGTGTCATTTCTGCCTGAGCGGCTGCCCAGATGCTAAGTGCGTGTTCAGGACTGGACTAAACTTGGAGAGGAAAACCCTTCACTGCCACAGAGTCGATCCCGACTCAGCCTATAGGACAGAGTAGATCTGCCCCTGTGGGTGTCTGAGACCATCTCTGAGTAGCCACAGAATGACTGCTGGTTTCGAACTGCTGACCTTGCAGGCAGCAGCCCCACGAGAAAAAACCCACTGCTCCACCAGAGCTCCGGGTGAATTGTGGGTAGCCACCAACACGTCGCTCCTGACACATGGCCAGCCCGTGTGAGTGGAAAGAACCGTGGTGGTGCCCACGTGGTACAGTGGCTGCGAGATTGGCTGCTAAGCGAAAGACCAGCAGTGCAAACCCGTCAGCTGTTCCCGGGGAGCAAGCAAAGGCGCTCTGCTTCCTTAGCGAGTCCAGCCTCAGGAGGAGCCCAGTGGGGGTGGGGCCCTTCTCTCTCCTGCCCCATCCCTGCACTGCGTCCACGCCGGCGGGCCTGGCTTCTGCGTTTCTGTAGGGTTCCTTTATTTTATCTTCCTGTGGTGTCTCCCCAGTGGGCTTCGAACTACCCACCTTTTGACTCGAAGCTCAGTGTGTCGCCACTGCATCGGGTCTCTCGTTCTAGGACGCCACACTGCCTTTGATTGGGGGTCCCTGGCGTGGCGTAGCCGGTGCCTGCTGCCCCTGTCCATCCGTTCTAGTCCTAGCAGGCCTGGGGGGGGGGGGGGGGGGGGGGGGTGGAGGGGCAAGGGACGGGACCTTGGAGAGAGAGCCCTGTCACAGGTGGTGAGGCTTTGGCACGAAGCCCTTGGACCCTGTCATCAGGGAAAGCAGATCTGAGGCTTGGGTGTCTGGTGAGGCGAGTCGGGGGTTGGCCGAGGGAGGGGGGCTCTAGATGAGGTGGCCACCATCGTGAAGATGGCCAGGGACCGGATGGGAAGCATTGCGGGCTCTGTCGTCCACGGGGCCACCACTGCGACTCAGCAGCGGACGAGAGTGGCAGAGGACAGCAGCTGGATGCCGGGACAAGCAGTGGTCAGTCACCAGTGGTGGCAGATGTGGCATGCTCCCTCGCATCGGGCCTGGGGTATTTGGTGAGGTTGGGATCACTGAGTGGCAGCTTGGACAGGATCGAAGCTACCGCTGCTGGGTCCCACTGGGGTTTGCACCCGGGTGGAAGGACTGTGCCTGAAAAGGAGATGGGACCTGGTCCTGCTGGCCTGGGACATCAGGAAGCTCAGGGCTGCCCTCCCACCCAGACAGTGGTGACAGCTGTCCCTCTCGCCAGATGATGGGGGGGCATAATGAGTGCTGTGTGGTACAAGCGGTACAAGCGGCCGTTGTCCCTGGGGCGACGTGACCGGCATTAAGAGCTGGGCAGTGGAGATGGCGAGGTGGTGGCTGCTGGGGGGTGGGGTGCAGGGTGGGCTGCGTGTCTGGGTCCGTCCAGAGCTGGGTCCTTGGCTCCGGTTTGCTCCCTAGGCCCTGCTCTCCCTCTGCCCATGCCAGCTCTCCTTGGGTAAAGAAACGGAACTCCCTTTACTGGGACGTTGAGAAGGACCCAGGTGACAGCCCTTCCTGCTGGTTGAGTTCCTTGGCTGTCCAGCTGGGGTCAGGGGGACTGGCCCAGCTCAGCACTGCCCATGCCACTACTCGGTAGTCGCTGTCTGGAGGAGGGGCACCGGGCATGTGCTGTCACTGGCATGTCCTCCATCGGTGCCGACCCCAGTGGGACGAACAGGCGGCCTTAACTCGAGCTGTGTCTGATCCAGCAGGCAGGCCGGCAAGTTGTGAGGCGTGGGCTGGGACTAGGGCCCCTCTGGGTGCACGCACAGCCCCCGTCTGGCTTGGTGGTGGTATGTCATCTTAGGCTACTGCCCTTGCCCCCGCTGAGCTTCACTTTGCCCAGCTCTGACCTGAAGGAAGGGAGGAAGAGCCCTTATTCTCCCATGTGGGGAGTCCCTGGGGGTGAGCATGTGGTCATGGAGCTCAGCTGCTTGCTGGGAGGGTGGAGGTTCAAGGCCCCCAGAGATGCCTCAGCAGAGAAGCTGGCAATCCACTGTCCCAGAAGAGCAGCCATTAGAGACTCTGCCGTGCATCGTGTAGATGGTCAGTCTGCCCCGGGGCATCGGCCGGCTGCCTGGGGTAGGAAGCTTGGTTGCTGGCTGGGAGACGGAAACCGCCCTGGGTGACCTTGCGAGATGTACCAGTTCCAGAGGCTTCCTCTGACCGTGGGGCCCTGCACTCTGGTCCTCACCCCCAGCCTCGATAGTCTGCCCCATCAGCAGCCTCCCCGCCCTGGCTGGAGCAGAGACAGCCCATAGTGACCCTTGAGTCCTGGCTGCCATCAGATCTGGGCACACAGCCTGGAAGAGCACTGGGGGATCTTGGCGGGGTGTGTGTGTGTGTGTGTGTGTGTGTGTGTGTGTGTGTGTGTTTTGGGGTATGGGGAAGGTGGGGGAAGACTGGATGGGGTGCTGGACCCCAGGCAGAGGTCCAGCATGGTCCAAACATGAACGTGGTCACTGTGGCAGCATCCCCCTAAGCTCCTGCTGGGAGCCCCTTCCAGGCCCCAGATGTGAGGTGAATGCAGGCGGGGGTGAGGTCGGGGGCTGAGGGGTTCCTTGGACAGCTGCCCGGAGGCCAGCTTTGTGAGCTGCTGAGGGATCAGTCCAGGGCTGGAAACCGTCCCTAGGTCCCCAGCAAGCTGGAGCAAGTCTCATTTTGGTGTCCTTTAAAAGCGCTCAGTGGTGCCGGCACCCCCCTACCATGCTGCCCGAGTGTCTAACGTGAAGGCAGGGCGGGTTTACCAGGTCGGGGGATGGGGTGTGTGTGGGGGGTGGGGGGGAACGGACATAGTCATCACCACAATCCGTTCCAGAACCTCTTCCCAAGGACAGCCCAGCCCAGCCTTCGAGTGACGGAGCTAGGCAGCCCGTCCCCGTGCTGCTGCGTGCCTCGTGGGAGCAGCGTCTTCATGGCGCCCGGCCTCTGCTGGGCCACCCTGAGGTCACAGCACTTCCTTCCTGGCCAGGGACCTGTGTGGTGCTTATCAGCTCCTCGGGATGCTGGCGGCATTGATTGTTGTCACCTTTGGGCCTTCATGAGCCCGTGCTGCTACCAGCCCTCGGGGACGAGCACTCGTGGGAAGACCCAGTTTCTCCTGCGGGTGGGGCTGCAGGCACCAGGAGCAGAATTGTTGGGTCAGCAGACATTCAGGTGTTCCTGGGTGGCACAGTTGTTGAAGCGCTGTACTACCCATCAGGAGTTTGCCATCAAACCCACCCAGGCCTTCCCCACCTGGCAGTCTGCTTCTGGGAGCTCTGTGGGGCCACCCTGCAGCCTGGGGCCAGGGCTTCTGACAGCACCTGGGAAATTCTGTGACCACCTTTGTATGTGAAGAGGCCTGAGGGCTCACTGGTTAAGTGCCCGGCTGCTGACCCAAAAGTGGGCAGTTTGGATGTGGCAGTCTGCGTCCTCAGAGATGGTGGCCTAGCAGCTCGCTGGGGCCGTGGAGTGGGCGCAATAGCCCCAGCTGCAGCTCGAGGGTCTCGTCGGTCAGTTTCATTTCTGTGGCCAGAGCCCTCCTAGCAGGTCAGCTTTGGTCTGCAGTGCCCTGTGACTGGCCATGGTGGTGGAACAGCTTAGCCCTGCGCTCTCTAGGCTGGGCCCGGGGCCCAGGGAGGGGCGGCTGGAGCCCTGCTATTTGGAGCAGGGCCCTGCTGGCGCAGGAGATAGAGGCCTGGTTGGAGCCTCTTGCCACCACCGAAGAGGAGGTGGTTGCCTGTTCCCAGAGACTGGGTGCCCCCAGCCCTCATGGGAACGCAGAGGTGGCTGCGCTGCTGTGCTTGACTGGGGTGGCGGGTCGAGTTTGGCTCCTTTGGGGGGTGACCTGGCCTCTGTGTGTCCCTGTAGAAGAAGGACCCGGCCCAGTTCCTGCAGGTGCACGGCCGGGCTTGCAAGGTACACCTGGATTCTGCTGTCGCCCTGGCTGCTGAGAGCCCCGTGAACATGTAAGACAGGGCAGGGCTGTGACTGACAGCGGGCACAGAAGGGACCGGAGACCTCAGGATCCGGGCAGACTTGGGGACTCAGGCAGGGGTGGGGGTGCTTGGCTTGTGTGTGAGGGTGACTGCCCTAGGCTCAGGATAGTGGTAGGGCTTTGGGAAGGCGGTCCTGAGTGGTCCTTGTAGTGATGGCAAGGGGAGGTTAGGGCCCCGAGGCTTAGGGGAACAAGGAGTGGATTTACAGGGGGTACATGGGGCTTGGGTCACGTTCCCCACTGTTACCGATCCGGCGACTCTGGGCCTGGTTCCCCCAGGGCCGCCTAGCCATCCCCCCCTTCCAGGTGCCAGGGCACAGGGGGTGGGCTCATGGAGAGCCTGGCACAAGGATCTGAGTGGCTGAGGGCCAGTGGCCGGAAACAGGTGCCCTGTGTTGTGGGGGTGGGGAGCCAGAAGCAGTGCCCGTCTGTCTCCCTAGGATGCCCTGGCAGGGGGACACCAACAACATGATAGACCGCTTCGATGTCCGCGCCCACCTGGACCACATCCCCGACTACACCCCGCCACTGCTCACCACCATGTAAGCCGCCTCCCAGTGCAGCTCTGCCCCGGTCCCCTCCTGGGAGGAAGGTGGGTGGGTTCTTTCTGCTCCACTCCCACTGACCTCGAGATCTGGACCTCCCCAAAGCTCCCCAGAGCAGGAGTCGGACGAGCGGAAGTGTAACTACGAGCGCTACCGTGGCCTGGTGCAGAACGACTTTGCCGGCAGTGAGTGACTGGGAGGGGAGTGGCCGGGCGGGCCAGCGAGAAAGCGGGAGCCGGCACTTCCACTCAAGGGCTGCGCCTCTGCTCCCAGCCCAGTTGCTCTGGGCTGGCCTAGCTCTCGGGCTGGTACAGGAGGCATCTCATGGTCTGTCTGGAGTCCCGGGGGTGTGTGGTGGGTGGGCACATGTCGAGCAGTTTGAAACCACTAGCTGCTCTTGGGAGAGAGTCTGGGCAGCCCACAGAGGCAGTCCTGCTCTGCCCTGTAGGGTCACTGCGGGTCGCACTGACTTCGTGGCAGTCACACTCGTCATCCCCACACCTCCTAGACCCGGAGGAGCAGCTGTGCCCTGCCCACGGGGCATCTGGGCACAGCTCTGCAGGAGGACCAGAGGTGGTTTGGGTTGACACAGCCTCAGTTGGTGCAGTGATGTCAACTGATGGGTTGGCATTGGGGAGCAGATCCTTAGTTCTTGGGCCAACGATCTTCATGACAGGGTCCCCAAACAGAAAGGGAAGTGGGGGCAGGACAACTGGTCTCTGTTTACCTGGAGTAACAGGAAGGATAGTCAGGAACGGGAGGAAGAGATGGAATGTGTGCCTCATGGCCTCCCTGGAACATCTCTCTCCTTTGCCACGAGACTGGACAAACTCGATGGTGCCCGGCTCCCATGACTGACACTTTAGAGTGAAGATTCTATGAACGGTCAGAGGAGGCGCGTGTAGGACAGACTTTCATATTCTCATGGAATCCATACGTCCCAAAACTACTGCCCTGAAAATCCTTACATGTTTGACAAAACACCTCCTGGAGTTGCCGCAAACATCTTAACGATGGTTTAGCTTAGCTGGTGGAGAGCGGGTGGGGGTGGGGGTGGGGTGGAGCAGGGATGCCTGCCTTGAACAGCATGCTCTTGTGGAACATTCTGTTCTTTTAAGAGCTGTCTAGGAGGGATCAGAGTGACAGCAGTAACCAAGGTGACTGCAGAAACCGAGGGGACAGGCCAGGGCCTGGGTGTGAGTGGGGAGACACTGCTTAGCACAGGAGACAGGGTGGTTGTACGCTGAGTCCTCGAGGCTGCCAAGTTGTACAAGGTGTTGTGTGTGTGTGTGTGTGTGTGTGTGTGTGTGGCGGTGGCTGTGCAGGGGTTAAGCACTCGGCTGCCAACCCCAAAGTCAGTGGTGGGACCCCCCTGGTCGCCCCTGGGGAGAAAGGTGAGGGGCAGTTCTGTCCCGTCCTTCACTGCCAGTGGGCATCGACACCCATCAGTTGGCATCACTTCGCTTGCCACCGTGTTGGCTCGGTCGCCCCGTCAACAATCATAGAAATGGCCTCTACGTATCAGGAGTTGAAAACAGAGGTTGAGCCCTCTGTCCAAGGCCACGGGGCGGCTGGTTGGGGGAGCCAGGTATTTTCTGCGTGCCAGCAGACGCACGCTGCCTTCTTGGGGGCTCTGCCGTCATGTCCCCTCCCCGCGGCTGGCTGGCTGACGGGCGCACGTGCGCTTGCTCCGCCACAGTCTCGGAGGAGCAGTGCCTCTACCAGATCTACATCGACGAGCTCTACGGGGGCCTGCAGAGACCCAGCGAGGACGAGAAGAAGAAGTAAGTCGCGGCCGGAGCCCATCGGGCCGGCCTCACCTACCCTCTGCCGAGTTGCTTCCCATGCTGGGCCTGGTGCCACCTCACAGGAGGGGCTCCCCAGGCCGGTGAGGGTGTGTGTATGGGTGCCTTGGCTAGAACCAGAGTGGGCATCCCTCCCAGATTCTCGGTGCCTTCCCCTGTAAACTGGGCCTCCTCTGGGGGCACAGTCAACAGGATGGTTAGAAGTCAGGCCATACCCAATGCCTGGCCTACAGTCCACGGGGGACCTGGATTGAGTGTCTAGGGCATTTACGGGGCTCCCGCCACGGGTACCAGCATTTTCCTGGGGCTCCTGGGTGACCTCTAGGGCCTTGCTGGCCCCTACCCCCATTCCAGCCACTGGGAGCTTCTGATCAACCCAGTCTGAGACAAGCACAGCGGCGCCTCACAAGGCGCCCACCACTCAGAGTCTGGGTGGGTGCGCAGTATGGTCTGAGATGGCTCCACCCCTGGTCCTCCTGAGACCCTGTCCCTTGAGTAGTGACCCAGAGCAGTTCTCAGCTCACCCTGGGAGTGTCGGGGTCCAAGGAAGCCTCGGTGAGAGCTGGCCCGGAGGACAAGAGGGGACTGGGCCCATGCTAACCCAGGCTCCTGAGCACCGAAGAGCTTGCCGGGGAGCGTGGAGGCGGGCCTGCAGGCAGCTGTGGGAGAGGACCTCATGTCTGGCGCCCCAGCTCTGCCTGCCCCCTGATGCTGCTGCTCTTCCCCTCCCTCCCCCAGGCTGGCGGAGAAGAAGGCGTCCATCGGTTACACCTACGAGGACAGCACGGTGGCCGAGGTAGAGAAGGTGACCGAGAAGCCGGCCGAGGAGGAGTCGCCGGCCGAGGAGGAGGAGAGCAACTCGGATGAAGATGAGGTCATCCCCGACATCGGTGGGGTCCCCTCTCTGCCCTCCCCACCCCCAGTCCCTGGGCATCGTTTCTGTGTCTCATCCCTCACCCTGTGGGGTGCCCTGCCGTCACGAGCCCTGCCTCCTACATGCTGCACCCCCGCCCCGCGCTGCCTTTGCCTTTCCCCCACTCCCTCTCTCTCTCTCTCTCCCCCACTCTCTCTCTCTCTCTCTCTCTCTCTCTCTCTCCCCCTCTCTTCCCTGTGGCCGTCTTTCCTCAACAAGGTCTGGCTCTCTCTGCCTTCTGCCTTCGAGCTTGGTGCTCCTGTAGTGTCCACTGGCCCTGGTGTGTGGGGCCATGCCCCCTCATGCCTCGCCCCCCCGCCCACTGTGCCACCCTCTCTCGGCCCGTCCAACTGCGGCATCTGTCTCCTCCTGCCTCCCCCATCCCGCTCACCCCAGAGCCAGACCCTGCTCGCTCACCTCCCCATCGGCCCCCAGGCCTCCACCCACAGCCCTCTGGAGTCCTCTCTGCCCCTTCCCTCCCCACCCGTCCTTGAGGTGTGTGGTCTCCCTGCTGGCCACCAGACACGCTAGACCTGAGCTCTCTGAAGAGACTGGGAGGCTGGTGGGTGCCCCTGGCCTCCTCCCGGGGCACTGTCCCCTCACCCCACCCCCCATCCCTGTGATGGGGCCTCCACCCCTGACGGCCCTTCTCTTGGTGCAGACGTGGAGGTGGACGTCGATGAATTGAACCAGGAACAGGTGGCAGATCTCAACAAGCAAGCCACAACCTATGGCATGGCCGATGGTGACTTTGTCAGGTGAGGGGCTGCCCGCCCCCGCCTGCCCCTCCTCTTGCTGGGCTCCCAGCCTGGCCGACAGACAGCACCCCCTGGTGGAAAGGCATCATTCCTCAGCTCCGCACCTGGCCTCCCAAGCCAGGCCTTTCTCAGGAGACCTCACAGAACTGTGAGGGGCCGTGGGGCCAACCCAAGTCTGCATGGTCCACCCAGGCTTCGTCATCAGGGAAGACCACGGCCTCCCTGCAGCCCCTGGGTCCCGCCTGGCCTCTTGGTCCTACTCGCTGAGGCTTGCCCCTCTCTCAGGACTGCTCTCGGTGGACTGCCCCGCCCACCCTGGGCACAGTTCAGCTTTCTTCCTGTCCTGTCCTGTCAGGCCTCTGCCTGTCCCCTTCCCTCCGTCCCAGTTCTCACCACCCGACAGGCAGGCTGGCTGGCTGTGCCCCCCCCCCCCCCCCTGGGGCCCCCAGGGGGGTTCGTAGGCACCCCCGCACCTACAAAGTGTGGGAGACTCCGGGATGGCACGAGCCCCTTGCTTTCCCTGCCTGTGACACCCCTTTTATGACCCTGTGGCCCTCACGTCAGGATGCTCCGGAAAGACAAGGAGGAGGCGGAGGCCATCAAGCACGCCAAGGCCCTGGAGGAGGAGAAGGCCATGTACTCGGTGAGGAGCGGGGCCTGTGGGCGAGGGGACCCGGGGGCAGCCGGCTCAGGGCGCCTGTGCTCACCTGGTGCCCTCACCCCAGGGCCGGCGTTCCCGGCGCCAGCGCAGGGAGTTCCGGGAGAAGCGGCTGAGGGGCCGCAAGATCAGCCCACCCAGGTAGGGGGCTTCTCCCGGGTATGGCATCCTGCAGTGGGGAGCTTGGGTCGGGTGGCTGTGAGGCGGAGTTCCAGCCCCAGAGGGGGGCCTCCTGGGGCAGCAGTGGGTGTCCGCAGCAGAGGTTCAGGGTGGGAGTGGCCTTGAGGGGCACGTGGACCCCATCTCCAGCCGTCATTCTGCTCCAGGACCCTGGTTGGTGCTGGGGCGGTAGGCGGTGGGACGTGGCTGAGCTGCTGCTGCAGGGGAGACGGAGAGCGCTCCCGTGTGGCCCTGTGTGAGTGCTTCCTTGACAGCACCGTGTCCTGCCCCAGGTTCCCGCAGGGACATCTTGGGGCAGGTTTGGATGAGGCGGTGTGGCCCGGCGGTGAGCCTGCACACAGCCTCGTGGCCAGGTGGGCCTGTGCAGCCCGTGCTGTTCAGGGAGGCTTCACTCGTGGGGTGTGGTGTGGGCCTGACCCTGTGCCTTCATGGGCAGTGATTTTCTCCTGTCAGTGAAGGAGGCGGGACACTGGGGCCTGACCCTGGGTTTGTGTCCCCTTCCTTTATCAGACGTGGAGGACTCCCCCGAGAGAAGCCACGACCCTATGAGCAGAACGGGTGGGGACAGGGAGAGGGAGGGGCAGACCTTGGGTCTGAGGGCGGCATGCCAAGTGACCGACGCTGCCCAGCATCAGGTGGTGTGGGGTGTTGTTTGCAGGTGGGTTGAGGACTGCGGGTGGGGCTGGGTGGGGAAATCAAGGCAGGAGGCTATCCCGTGGCCCCAGCCTCACCTGGCTGCCCAGTGCCAGGCTCGGGCCTTCAGGCTGAAGCTGGGGGAGAGGACCCAATTCCATGCCTCCTTCAACCTCAAACCTTACTTGTCCCCATCCTGTTCTTTATAGCTATGCCCGCCGAGACAGCCCCACCTACGACCCCTATAAACGGTGAGTTCTGGGGCCCAGGGAGAGGTGGGGCTTGGGACCCAGGGGCAAGCGAGGCCTGGTGGTCTGGCGCCCGCTCATAGCACTTCGTGTGGGCTCTGGTCCGAGTCATCTCCCACTCCCGTCATCTGGGTGGCTAAGTGGCTTTCTAACTAGCTCTTTCCATGTGGACCCTGGTTTTGTTTTCCTGATGGAAAGCGCTTGTGGCAACCTGCTCTCACTGCAAGGTGAGCTGAGGCTGTTCAAGGTCAGCAGTTCACACTCACCCGTGAGGATGGTGATTGTCATTTGTTCTTCCGAAGATTGACAGCCCCAAGACCCTCCAAGGGGTTGCTGTGAGTCAGTCTGGTGGTAAAAACGACCGAGCACAGCAGGCAGCAGACTCGCACATCCAAAGGCCCCTGTGCCAGCCTTGGCTCCCAGAGCGTGGCCTGGGGGAGGGGTGGGGTGGTGCTGAGGTCTGGGGCTGCTCCCAGACCCAGCGCCTGGGCTCTGCCCCTTGGGCAGGGCCCCCACCTTTCTTGAGCTCCAGGACTTGGTGGGATCAGGCGTGGGGCTGTATGCTTGGTCAGGTACAGGTGGTGCCCGAAGCGAGCCTTCTCAGGCTGTGGAAGCGGGGTTGAGCCCCCCGCCCCCCCACCCCCCGTAGTGCAGCACTGAGTCTTTTCTGTCCAAAGTTCCAGCAGGGTGTCAACAGGTAGTGCAGCTCAGCTGCCAACCAAAAGGGTGACAGATCCCATGGCCGTCCAAAGACCTGGCTGTCTTCTTGTCCCAAATCAGTCACTGAAAACCCCGTGGGGCACTGTTTCGCTCTGAGAAACCTGTGTGTTGGAGGGTGGGTGGGGCTGTGGTGCCTCAGTCAGGGTAGACTTCCCTGACCCATGGGTACTGGTTTGGTGGAAGGTCTTCCCGCTGCCTGTGTGGTTCTGGGGGGC